CGAAATAACCTAGAAAAAGGTTAGCATAAGAGGGGGCCATTTTAGTACCCATGGCGGTGCCATGGATTTGGAGATAGTGGTTATCATTAAATGAGAAATTATTCATGGTGAGAATCATGCGAATGAGGTCACAGAGTGTGCATTTTCCCCCTCCCCCTTCCCCCACCGTCTAACATGGCGGTCTAACATGGCGGTCGCAAGGTTGTAACGCTAACTCGCCCCAATAAGACGCCTGCACTGCAGGCTAACTGTGTTAAAGCGTAACAGCTTGACAGCACATTCTTTTCATATAAGGGTATAATGTCGGCCCCATTCGACGCTGTGGAAAAACTCGTGCAGACTTATATCTCGTACAGTAGCACTATGTGTATGGGTTATTGACCAAGTGTGAGGTCAAGTCGGCTGGATATTGCGTGTTACTCGCAAAAAAGAAAAAACGAGGCCAATATCGAGCCATCTTGACCGAACAAGCTTGGTCAACAAAGGATTTATTACTTGGCTTTCGGAGAAATGTTTCTTGCGGGACACGGCGGGTAGTCCCGAGCGGGCAAGATAGCTCCATCTTGCCCGCTCGGGTAGCTAATCACAGCGCAGGATTTGATTCATCTTACCTGCTCACGGAGTTAGCCATATAATAAAGACGGATCCCATACCTGTTCCTCCTAGGTGAAGAAAAGGTAATGGTAGAGTCTGAACTCAGGCGACAAGACCCTTGGCCCTTGTTGTTACGGTGATATCGTTTGAAACGTGAAGTCCTTATTTTTTTCCCTAAATCTATGGAACGGACCGGATTCAATTTTATCGGCGTTAGCAACAAACAAATAAAGCACAACAAAAACGAACCAAGAAAACAACCCACCCCTAAACCCAGTCTCAAATTTTGACCAGCTTTCACCTGCAAATAAATCGCACATTTACCGGCTCGGCGGGTAACCGGTCGTTTCGCCCGATAGCCAGTTCGCCCGATGTCTAAAAGTCTTTTCGTCCGAATTGGAAGTTCCAAAAAGACTACATTGTGGGCATTTATGAAACAAAATGCCACAAAACATATTTATTTCTCGCTCTTTAATGTCTTTGATCCATTGACCCCAGAGCTAATAACAGTATAGTCCATGCGAACTGACAGTTGGCATTCCAAGCGCGAGGAATGGCTATTGATCCCTGAGCAGTCCATCCAAGGAGCTGGAAAATTTACCAATTTTTCCTTGTAAAACGAAACAAATAAAAATAAAAATAAAAGAGCTTTGTATCCTCTACTAAGTCCTTCCTCGCCAAGTCTTTTTAGCTAATTTTTGGAATTTTTACGTCATCCAACGCTCGCACGTGATCACAATGCATGTGCAGGTCACAAATATGCCATCCCATGAATCCGTGCAGTCCGCGTTCGATTTCCTTATAGGGATAGAATAGGAGGCAATAAAAGAACCCCCCTATTGGCCACATTGTTGTTAGTATATAAATCCCTCGCTTCGAACAAGAAGGTGGCTTTTTCGAAAGCCCAGCGCTAGGGAAAGAACCGGTTAATCACATACGCGCTCGAAAATGGCAACTTCAAATGTAGTGGTAAGTTGGCTGGCAGCATTTGCCGTTTGTTTGGCGTAAAAATTCGAAATTTCCACTAAATGTGCCATTTTCTTCCAGCCCAAAATATATCGTGGCGTGATCGAAGATGTGATTAAGAACGTGCGGGAAAGTTTCTTAAACGAAGGTGTAGATGAACAAGTTCTTCACGAACTAAAACAGGTAAGCGTGACGTTGGTAAAGCCAAAGACTTAATGAGAGGGAATTGGCTAGAAATTATTGCTTTTTGTTTATTGTATGTACCTATTCAACAAAATTGGAGACGTCTCATTGAATTCAATGCGCGCGAGGTGAGTCAGAGCTGTAGCTGCGAAGACCAGCTAACTCACTTAAATATTGACGAGTAGTTTCCAACAGAAACTGTTCTAGTTTCAAATACAAAAACCATACGGAAATTAAAAACCCCATCGCTAGCGTTTTGCCCTTCTGTTTTTCACGGCAGCCTGTTCAATTCATTCTTTGTTTCCTCGTCCGCCATCTGATCAATCCCTCAAATGTGAATTGATAGTCGGTAAAAATATTAGTATGCGTCTGTCTTGAAATAAGTTCTAATCAGACAGTTATACATATATATCCGATCTTGCCCAGCGAAACAAGCAGTGTTTACATGTATACGACAATTCCATGCTTGTTATGGCTTGTGTTGTCTACATTGGCCTTCGAGTGAAAGCGAAAGTAAAGAGGCCGAGTGGTAATGTGTCAGAAATAACTGGAACCGAGTTGTGAATTAATGAAAGGGAGTGGTAATAAAGGGTGTTTACTATTTAGCAAAAAAATCTGGAAGTTGGAACAGTATTTTTCTGGGAAATCCGTTCAGAAATTGTAGACTACTTCCAGAGTTTATTTATTTATTACAATTTATGACATACCAAAACAGAAGCCAAAGGATGAAATGCAAAAGAGTCAATGGTACTAAAATGAAAAATGATGCAAATTAAATTATGGTAGTAATAAATATGCAGTGGCTATTCGTACGGCACCCTTATGGTGACTTGTATTTGCTATTCGTACGGGAGTCAGATGATTTCATTGAATTTCTCTGTAATTGCTGATTCCTCCTTGTCCAAATTATTATATTTACCTTAACAAGAATTAAGCGATCCCAGTAAGTGCCGTTTCTTTGAGCCAGATTAATTTGCGTACTCTCTGTATACTAAGCGAACGACCCACTCGCGAGACTTCAAATTTTTTGCAAGCTAGTTAATTGTGGAAATTTAGGGGAGGGTTCCGGGGCAGCAATTTTCCATGAGACACCAATATGGTCTAATACAATCAAATTTTTGAACTAAAGCGTTCAGCAAAGTGATCAGGTCATGACTGAGAAAAAAAACTATTTATGGTCAAGCAAACTCAATAATTGGTGTATCCATGCATGTTCTGCAGCTTTTTTTTACAAAAACTTATTTTGCTGCTTTTGTTTTTGAGTTTTGCAATTCTATTTAAAAAGACAAAATACATTGTGCAAATCATGAAATGCAAGCTGAAAATGAAAACAGATAAAGACGAAAGAGGCATTCGAGGGGTTTGAATTTGGCCTCACTGAAATTTGCTTTCCTTCCCTGGGCTTGGGACATTAGTATTAACTAAAGGTGATTTTGAGGCAGCATTACTGCATTATATTGACCGCTTCTTTGGAGAAAATATATTCATGTGTATTGGGTGGAGTCTCGACAATTTGTTTGATAATTTAAAATACATGTATAAAACCCTAGTACAGTCGAACCTCGATTATCCCTGCCTCAATTATCCAGATTTCTCGATTATCTGGACTTTTTCTCAAGTCCCAATTTTGTCGTGAATATTTATTAGTCCTGATCAAGATCAGTAGCAATATTCCTTTTAAAGCTATAGCATTGAAAAGTGCAGTCAAAAGCAAGTTAATTGTGCTTTTAAAGAGCAAAAGCAGCACTTGCATGCATCGTAACCAATGAAGAACACGCGAATGAGTTCTGATTGGCTCAGAGTTGAGTGGTTCAAGATGTACAGTAGACCATATTGTTTTCCAAGCAATTTGTAAAAGTGTTGTTTCATGATTAAATGTTGCTTTATTTAGACAGTTTTGTTCTTCATTAATCTTCATATTTTCGATTATCTGGAGCCTTGATTATCTGGACTATTTCACTAAGTCCCAATGAGTCCGCATAATCGAGGTTCAACTGTACAGAGTTTTTAATCCCAAGTACATATACCATGTACTATCAAAATGCACCATTTTTATTTTTGTCCCAGTTCCCTCGCTGAAATTGATTATAAAATTACTAAGGACTACAAAATGACCCTTCTATTGTTTCTAAAACCAAAAATCCTCTTACTAACCTCTGTGAAGAAGACATAGGACAGGATAAATCCAGTCAATGCCAAAGCGTAAAACACGAACATGAAGAGAAACAGCACTGTGAACAAAAAGATCAGATTGCTGATTAACCCGCCAGTACTAAGCATGACCAAAATCTAATTTCACCTTACCAATACCATATGAATCAGTTTTACCTAAATTGGTGGTGAGAATTAGGATAATCATCATGTGAGAAACGCTAAGACTCTAAAGGGACACATGTGCATTTCCCAAAAATTCAGTCATGAGTTGCAATTTACAAAATACAAAGGGTGGCAATAGTCCTTCAAAAACCATGGTT